TACACACAGGCACACATACACACAGGCACACATACACATATACACACAGGCACACATGAACACAGGCACACATACACACAGGCACACATACACACATACACACATACACAGACACACATACACACGTATACATGGCACACATGAACATAGGCACACATACATATATATACACAGGCACACATATACACAGACACACATACACACGTATACACAGGCACACATGAACACATACACACGTATACACAGGCACACATGCACACATACACACATGCACACAGGCACACACATACACACATCATACACACATGCACACATGAAGATTTCTGAAAGAAATTAACCAAGAAAAGGAACACTGGCTAATCGTGGCAGGAATAAGGAACGACCCCTTCCTATCAGGGCCTCGGGTTAAAGGAAGGCAGCCGAGTCTCGCCTTCAGAGTCACTTCAGCCAGCAGAGCCTTTGAGCAGAGACAGCCCCCGGCTCTGTGCAGCGGCAAGGACTCTCCTCAAGGCCCCTAGTCCACAACACTCAGGGAAGCTGGGGCTGGGTCGGCCACTTCAATTCTCAGGTGTCCTAGTCATGGTCACTACTGTGATGAAGCACCATGACCAAGAGCAAGCTGGGGAGAAGGGTTCATTTGGCTTACACTTCCACACCATAGCCATCAATGAAGGAAATCAGGACAGGGACTCAAGCGGGGCAGGAACCTGGAAGCAGGAGCTGATGCAGAGGCCACAGAGGGGCGCTGCTTACTGGCTTGCTCCCCATGGTTTGCTCAACCTGCTTTCTTATAGAACCCAGGACCAGCAGCCCAGGGATGGCTCCACCCACAATGGGCTGGGCCCTCCAACATCAGTCACCAATTAAGAAAATGTCTTACAGACCTGCCTACAGCCCCATCTTACGGAAGCATTTTCTTAACTGAGGTTCCCTCCTCCTGGATGACTCTAGCTTGTGTCAAATTGAAATACAACTATGAGCCCTTGTCAACTTGACACACAAACACATCACTGTCAAGTCACAACCTTTCCTTTCGTGTTCATTGCCAAGACCACACATTAATATAAATATCACAGTATAAGACATTTTACAGACTTAAAAGTCCCACAGCCTTACAAAGGCAGTTTAAAGTTCAGCTTCTTAAAAAAAAAAAAATCCAGTCTCTTTTAAAATCAAAGTCTCTAAACTGTGAGCTCCTATAAAATAAAGAAGTGAATTTCTTACTTCAAGAGGGAAGAGCCAGAGCACAGTCACAATCAGATCAAAGCAAAACGAACTCCAATAGTGTAAACAACGCCCAATGTCTGGGATTCATTCATGATCTTCTGGGCTCCTTCAAGGGCTTGGTCACTTCTCTAGCACCACCCTCTCCAGCACACACAGCTCATTCTAAGCTGGAGCAAGCTCTGCTCCGCTCCACTGCTGCTGCTGTTCTTGGTGCTCATCCCATGGCACTGGCGTCTCCAAACTCCTGGGGTCTCTGCTGCAACTGGGCTGCACCTCCACCAGTAGCCTCTCCTAGGCTCTCCTCATGGTGCCAAGCCTCAACTTCTCTGCCTGGCCCCTTCAATTGTGGGGCTCCCACTGCTGCTGAGACTGTAACTTCACCAATGGCCTCACAGTGCCAAGCCTCAGCTGCTCTCCATGACCCCTTCCTGCCTTTAAAGCCAGTAGCACCTGGGTGACTCTTACACCACTAAGTACAGCCTTGGCTGCCTCTGGAACACAGCTTCTCTGTGCTCTCAGGAAACACTTCCCAGAAGATTTCACCTCAGTGATGCTAGTCTCCCCTCCATCACTGCTGTTTTCTCAGCTCTACCTGGCCAGCATCAGTGTCCCAGCAAAGCAAAGGTTCCCCTTCAGTGGTGCTGGTCTCTTGTTAATCACAACTATTCCTCAGCCCAGCTGGCCAGTGCCACAGCATCTTAAATCAAAATAACAAATGGCTCCGATGGTCCTTAAACTTCCCTCAGAAACTTCACAAGCCAGGCTTCCGACATCTACATTGACTTCACCATTCTTGTCTTCCAAGCTCCTACAGAACAGCCCACTGAACTCTCAACACATGACAGCTCTTCTAGTCCAAAGTTCTAAAGTCTTTTCACAATCCTCTACAAAACAACATGGTCAGGTCTGTCAAGGCAATATGTCACTATCCTGGTGCCAATTTATGTCCTATTTAGTAACCCTACTGCTTCGGTGAAACACTGAGATTAAAAGCAAACTGGGAAGAAAAGGGTTTGTTTGGCTCACAATTCCACATCATAGACCATCACTGAAGGAAGTCAGGGCAGGAACTCAAACAGGACAGGAACCTGGATCAAGCTGACACAGAGACCATGGAGGATGCTGCTTACTAGATTACTCCCCATGGCTTGCTCAGCCTGCTTTCTTATAGAACCCAGAACCACCAGCCCAGGGATGGCTCCACCCACAATGGGCTAGGCCCTCACCATCAATCACTAATTAAGAAAGTGCCTAACAGGCTTGCCTACAGCCCAGTCTTGTGGAGGCATTTTCTCAATTGAGGTTCCCTCCTCTCAGATGACTCTAGTTGTGTCAAGGTGACATAAAACTACCTAACATACCAAGCCACATTTCCAGCTTCTGGAGGAATTATGGGAAGGCTCTGAGTGTCAGATTTTTCTCTTGAAGTGAGGAGCTTATGATGAAAGTGAATGGAGATGAAGAGAAACATCTATGGAAAAACAAGTCTTGTTGGTGTGGGAAACGGGATGTCAGGGTTGAGTTCATCTTTGCTGTTCAGATATCAGAGAAGACACCAGGAACCTGAATTCCAATCCTGGCTACTCCTACCCTGAGCACTTTCAAAGGCCACTCAGGCAAGAAGAACCTTTAAACATGTTACGAAACAAATACATTTTAAAATACCTGTCCCCAGTTCTGGGTTGACTTTTTAAATCATGTTACCAGATTTTTTTTTAATGAAAATGCTATAAAATACAGTCATCTGGTGACTGTACCTCATTTTACTTGGCCAGTTATCAGTTCAGTGAGTCTGAGGTGAGCTCCAGTGCCCTCCCTCCACAGCCTCCTCCTCTTTACTTAGTGGCCAGTCCAGTGTTGTTGTCCAAGTCATAAGCCCGGGAGTCAACCTTGACTTTCTCTGCCTCTCACATGCCATAGCCAATCCACACTGAAATACCTCTATTTCTTCCTTCTGTACATACCCACATCTGTCTGGGTTGAACTCCCCCTCTGCTGATGCTGTGGTCTGGGCTATTGCCTTCCCTGATGTATGGATCATCTCACTAGCTGCCCAGACCTGCGTGTGTCCACCTGTGGCCCCCACTCTCAGCACAGAAGCTAGAGTGACTCTTGGGAAACCTGAACAACGTGGAGATTCTCCTTGGCTAGGCCCCTTGCAGTAGTCCCCACAATGGCCTGTAAGAAGGGCTTACATAGAAAACAGATAAAATACAGATGTTGAAATATGGATGTCCAGTGACAACTGAATTCCATATAGATGGTGTATGAAATGTGTGGGGTGGGGTTTAGGACTCCGACTCTGTCCCTCTCTGACCTATTTACTTGAGACAGGTTCTCATATTGAAGCAGGGGACAAACTGACAGCCAGAAACCCTCAGAGATGCCTATGTCTCTGTCTCCATGAGGCTGGGGACAACAAGCCTGTGTGCACCTGGTGCTTGGACACCACCCACATGGATGCTGGGAACCAAAGTCTAGTCCTCTCCAAGCTCAGGGTGTGTTCTTCAGTGCTGAGACACCTCTCTAGTCCTGTTTTACATTATTTTCTTTTGGTAAAAGGGATCAAACTTGGGCCTTCACATATGGTGGGCAAATGCTCAACCACCTGTATTGTAGATCTCTAGCTCACGTTTTTCAAAGTTTCAATTTTATTTCAAATCTACACACCAATTTGCTCTACTTTATGGTATCCTATTTATTATAATATAAAAATTTTGTCCAGATTTACTCTAACCTTAAATTACCAAATGAGCCTTCAGTCTTTTAAAAAAGCGTGAAGCTTCCAGAAAATCAATATAGACTGGTTGATATACCATCACCCCGAGCCTCAGGATCCATCACCTGTATTCCACGGGAAAGTCATGCCACCACGATAATACCTGGTTCATGGCAA